GCTAGACCAGAGCATGAACATGGGTACAGATAAGAGCTGGAAACACAGGGAATTCAGGACAGATAAACCCCTCAGGACCAATATTGAGAGTAGTAATACCAGGAGGGGAAGAGGAAGGTGGGCGGAGAAAAGGGGAACCAATCACAATGATCTACATATAACCCCCTCCCAGGGGAATGAACAACAGAAAAGTGGGTGAAGGGAGACCGGTCAGTGTAAGGCATAAAAAAATAATGATAATTTATAAATTATCAAGGGTTCATGAGGGAGGGGATAAAAATGAGGAACTGATACCAAGGGCTCAAATAGAAAATGTTTTGAAAATGATGATGACAACATATGTACAAATTAGGTGGACTCAATGGATGACTGTATGGACTGTGATAAGACCTGTAAGAGCCCGCAATAAAATGATTATCAAAAAATAATAAAAGATTACAGCCAAGAAAACCTTACGGGGCAGTTCTACTCGGCCCGTAACACGCGAGTTGGAACTGGCTCGATGACCATGGGTTTTCTTTGGAGGTGAGAAGTTCAGGGAGTCAAGGGTTCATTGATTACGAGAGCTAGACATTGAACTTGATCCTAGAACTTGGAGAACATTGGATTTGTAGAGAAGACTGAGCAGACATTCCCAGAAGCAGTAACCCAGGTCCACCACTAGGTGGCTGCTGGTCACCTATGCCCCACTTCTCTGCAAGCTCAGTCCCTAAGAAGGGACACCTGCTGAGTTGATACCATGGCAGGTTTCCCTTCCTGGAGGCCATATTCATGGTCAGCAAGGAGAGAAGCCTGCGTGGACAGTGTCAGTGGGACTGGAGGGAGGATGAAGGTGGTCGGACCCATGTGAGGTGGCCCAGGAAGGGTTCCGGTAGCTCTGACCCTGAGGGTGGTGGCAAGCTCCACTTCTCTCCTTTGTTGATGGGCCCAGCAGTCACCTCTCCTTCTGCACCTTTGCCTCTGCAGATATGGTACACGAGCCTCCTTGTCCGGGCCCTACCTGACCTCCGTGATGGGCAAAGAGGTTGGGGAACGGGAGTTCTGGCAGATCGTCCAAGCCCCTGATACCCCACTGCTGCAAGGTGAGTTGGTGGCCTGCTCCCCTTGAACATGTCCCTAACCCTGCCCCGTCACAGCAACCAGGCTGTGCTCAAATTACCCCAGTGTTCCTGGAAAGAAATCTTGGGTGCTCAAAGTGAGATGCAAATTGTTTGAAGTGATTTCGTAGCATTTCTATGTAAGTTCTTATGGAAATCAGATAGGAAAAATGATAATCAGCCCTTGGTCATGTCTAAAATTTTGGGTGTATTTTCTTTCATGTAGCTTATTTAAAAATCTGTAAGTTTGTTTGTTTTTCATTGAAATACACCTGTTCTCTATGCTGTCCAATAGAAATATAATGTGAGCTACATAGGTAATTTCAAATTCTCTAGTAGCCCCCCCGGGGGTGAAATTAATATGAATAGTATCTCTTATTAAATCCAGTATATCTAACATGCTATCATTTCAATCTGTGATCAATATAAAATGAGTAAGGACATATTTTACATGCATTTTCTTGTCATAAGATTGCAAGTGCTCAATAGCCACATGACACTAAAACCAAACCCATCACCATCTATTCTGACCCACGGCAAGTCTACCGAAGGCTCCCAAGGCTGAGTGTTCACAAGAGCAACCAGCCTCATCTCGTCATCTTGGACAGAGCAGCTACATGTATACACTACTTTACCATGCCCCGCCCCCCAATCCATTGTAGACATATTTAATGTCGATAGATGTAGATCTTCCCCACATAGAATTTATCATCCGTCAGGCTCAAGGGACAGGACACATGGAAATGAGCTTTCACCGAAGGCTATCCATAGGCTGTGGTGCCTGGAATTTCGGAAGTAGCGCTGCTGAGCTGCTTGCTGTTTCCTGGACTCTGATACCATTTCCAGCATGCCCTGTCTTTATTGACTTCATTCTTCGGCAACTCCGTCTCTTCCTGCGGCTCCTTGCCTGTGCGTCATCTCTTGTGATAGGAAAAGGGTCCCCAAGTCCTCCTGAGAACTCTGGCGTCTCAAGGGACGCGTGCCCACCCCTGGGCTCATTCCCCACCCCCACCCCTTTTAAAGACTCCTTATTGTGCACGCAGGGAAGGTTTACAGAGCAGAACATCGCGCTTCCATTCGGCAATTCAATCACGGTTTGTTTCAACTCGACCATTTTCATTCCCTCAGTGGACCATCACTTGCCCGCGTTCTCCCCGCGTCTTGTTTCCCTTCCTCTTTCTTTCCTAACCTTCCAACCTTGTTGTTGGTTAAACGCGACCGTTTTGATCATAAATAGTTGATGATTTTTACCAGAGGGTGAGCTCAGTTTCAGACCTGAGCCAAAGTCTCAGGAATCCCGCCTGCTTTTTGGTGACCAGCACCACTGGCTTCTTTGAGGGTTTTGATTTCTCTTCCACAGTTTTCCCCATCTCTCCAGGACCTTCTAACGGGCTCCCTTTCAGAGCAGTGGATAGTGGTAGCCGGGCACCGTCGAGTTCTTCTGGGCTCCGGTCATGGGAATCGATGTTAGTTATTATCATGGCCCATCCGTCGATTGGACTAATTGTTTCTGTATGTCTTTCCTCGACAGGGGAGAGGCCAATGATTGCATGAACTTTTTCAGACCCCAGTCGTGAATCACCCCAGGAGGTCTTTGTGACCCTTGTTATGCAAGTAGACCTTGGTGTCCTGAACTCATTTTTTAAAAATCATTTTATTGGGGGCTCATACAGCTCTTATCACAATCCATCCATCCATCCATCCATGTGTCAAGCACATTTATACATTTGTTGCCATCATCAGTTTCAAAACATTTTCTTTCTACTTGAGTCCTTGATATCAGCTCCTCATTTTCCCCCTCCCTCCCCGTTCCCCCCTCCCTCATGAACCCTTGATAATTTATAAATTATTATAATTTTGTCATATTTTTACACTGTCCGATGTCTCCCTTCACCCACTTTTCTCTTGTCCGTCCCCCTGGGAGGGGGTTATATGTAGATCATTGGATTGGTTCCTCCCCCCACCTTCCCCTTCCCCTCCTGGTATCACTACTCTCATTATTGGTCCAGAGGGGTTTATCTGTCCTGGGTTCCCTGTGTTGCAAGCTCTTATCTGTAACTGTGTACATGTTCTGCTCTAGCCGGATTTGTAAGGTAGAATTGGGATCATGATAGTAGGGGGGAGGAAGCATTAAAGAACTAGAGGAAAGTTGTGTGTTTCATCGGTGCTATACTGCACCCTGACTGACTCATCGCTTCCTTGTGACCCTTCTGTAAGGGTATGTCCAATTGTCTACAGATGGGCTTTGGATCCCCACTCTGCACGCCCCGTCATTCACATTGATATAATTTTTTTGTTCTGGGTTGGACTCATTCTTGTTGCTAGGATATCACCCAAGTTCTGAGCCCACCAGTGACTTGAGGATGGAATTGTCACGACTGGCTTGGACCACTCAGGTCCTGCCCCCCAGCGTTGGGCTAGAGCGCAGCAGGAGTGTAGAGTGGGATGGATGAGTCACAGCGGGGTCAGCTCTGGGTGGACCTTTCCAGTATCTCAAGGGTTAAAGCTTGTGCCCCATGCTGTAAGAAGTGGCCTGTGAACCAGCCCCTCCCAGACACTCATAAAGTTCATCTACTTTGCTCCCTTTACATCAATGTCCATAGACATTTTACGGGGCGCTTACCATGTGCCTAACATTGTGCCAAGTGCTTCCTAGAAGGTGGGACTTTCTGAGGGAGCCCAGGCAAAAGCATTCTTCTCCCTTGCCTGGTGTCAATACATGGAGAAAGAACATGAGGAGGGGTGGGTTGGTGGCGGCAGGTGGGCGTTCCCCAGGATGGCCTTTGGAACTGAGGAAGGCTAGACTGGCAGATGGACCAGACAAACCCATCCCTGAGTTCGGCCCTCTCTGGCAGGAAGAAGGGAGGGGCCAGGCTACACACACCTGGTTGATCCTTCTCAAATTAACCAATGGCCAAAGCCACCCTTCCTTCTTCCCTGGGGCCAGGCTGGAAGGTGGAGGCGGCAGAAAGGGGCAGGTTTGGGGCCTAGACCTCCCCAAGCCCTGTGAAAGCCAGTTCCTGGTGACCGGTGGTTAGAAGAGTGGGGTTCCCACCATTGAAAGCAAACATCCGGGTTCCCTCAGATGATCCTTCCAGTGATCCCATGGGTTGTTGATAGAGTCTCCTCATCTCACAAATGAGAAAATGGGGACTCCCGGGATTATGTAACTTGCCCAAACTCACGGCCCCAGTGGGTAGAAGAGGTGGGCTTGGGCCCAGGTGAATAATGGGGCCTGGACCCTCTCTAATGAGCTGCAGGTTGGCTCCCTGGAGAGTCACCCAGGATTCTGGCTCTCCCTTGGGACCACAAAAAGCAAGTTCTTCTTCCTGACACCTTTCAGATCCTGTGAAGAGCTGTCTGTCATGGGTCCTCTTCAGGGTCCTGGCTCCTTTGTCCCATGTTTGCTGGCCACCATGCTGTCGAGCCCTCTCTCCTCTGGGGACTCCCGCTGGGGGCTCAGTGACCCTTGAGAAGACAGCTGAGTGCAGGCTCCAAACTGTCTCTGGATGCAGGGCTCCAGAAAATGGGGGTGGGTGGGTGGGTGGGGGTGAGATGTAGAGGTTGTGTATTGGTCTGTAGCACCTCACACTGGTCCCTCTGTCTCTGCAGGCATTGCTGACTACAGACCCAGGGATGGAGAGACCATCGAGTTGAGGCTGGTTAGCTGGTAGCCTCTGGGTTCACTCACCCGGCAAGCACCCAAGCACCCCAGTCTTTTCCCTTCCTCCCACCGCCCCTGTAACAGGCACTGCCTGGCCCTCTGCTGTCTACTGGGCCCTTGGAACAGTGTCCCCTGGATCCCCCAGCCATTGCCCCTTGGCGACTCCTAAGCCAACGCTCCTGGAGCAGAGAGCCAAACACCTGTCCCAGAACTTTCTGAACTGAGGTCTGGCACAATGTGGGCCCCTCAACCATCCTAGGAAGGTCACCTTGCTCTGAAGGGCAGGAGGAGGCTCAGCTTCCTCTGGTTGCAGGAGTTGCTGGCAGGTGAGCCACTCTGACCCAGTGACCCTGCAGGAGCCCTCTGCAGCTTTGACCCCTGCTCCATCCAAGCCAGGGTGCCGCCCCAGAGATGCTGTGGTATGGAAAGTGACCAGACTCCTAATGATTAAAGCATTGGTTGTGTGCCTACTGCAGCATCCTGGTGCCTCCTGCTCACAAGAAGAGGGAGTGGGGGAGGGAGGGAAGGAGAGAGAGAGAGAGAGAGAGAGAGAGGGCGCAGGAGCAAGCAGAGCAGTTCTTGTTCTCTAGGGAGTGGAAAGATGATGGCAACGGAGAGGGCTTCCCAGCCACTGGAGTGGGGGTGTGGCACAGAAGAGGGTTCTCTGGGCACTGGAGTGATGGTGGTGGCTGGGGAGGGTTCCCTGGACACCAAAGAAAGAAAACATTTTTCCAAACGGGCAAAATTCCGAAAAGAATAGAGTCCTAAGGTGGCCTGGATTTCTCCTCCTCAGGGAAGCTGGCCAGTGCCTGGCTATCAAAAGATACAGTGCCTGGGTTCTTAAAGGGTTAAAGGTCAACAAGCTGATCTTACTGATGTGGATGGAGCAAAGCTTAGGGGACCTTCATTTGCCCATGGGGCACAACTCAAAAGGAGAAGAGATGGTTGCACACATCTCCGAATGATCAGAACATGGAAGGTAGAACGTCTGACTCATGGAACTTTGACAGTCATTAAAAATGAACATAAAGATCAATATCCTAGGCATTAATGAGCTAGAATAGCCTGGCTTACCTATTTTGAATTGGGCACTCATAGGGCACACTCTGCTGGAAGGGACCAAATGAAGATGAATGGTGTCGCATTTGTCATCAACA